GGACTGTGGGATGCACTGGACAGATGGGAGTACAGAAGAGAGAGTCCAGGCATGGTTTGGCAGTAGCTGTTTCTCTCTCCAAGGTCACATCTCCTGTCCATCACCTTCAGTGACATGTAGAACTCTTGCCAGCTTGTGGTAGCTGCTCCTTCCCTTGTCCTCAGAAACAGGAATTGTAAGGATCCCCCCTGTTGCTGGCCCTGGGCTTATTAGTTTCTTTAAACCCTGCCCTCACTTGGTTAATAATTTTTGCATTAAAATTTCCATAAATCATTCGAGTGAGACTTCTTGTTTCCTGGGACACTGGCTGGCAAAAGCAACAGAGGTCTCTCTGCAAGAGAAGCCTGATTCCAGACACCAGCTGCCCGTAAGTCACTTAGTCCAAGTCCCTCACTTTGCGGAGACTGCAGATCACAGAGAAAATGTGACCTGCTTGATGCACGCAGCCATGCATGACGGAGCCAGAGACTAGAATGCATGGCTCTTGTCTTTTCAGGTCAACACTCCCTTCAGACCTTGGCATGGGTCAGACGGGAATGCTGCAAAAAAAAAAATTATAGGCCAACATCCCTGATGAACATAGATGCAAAAACCCTCAACAAGATATTAACAGAATTAATTCAACAATATATTAAAAGGATTAAATACCATAATCAGTTGGGTCTTATCCTGTGGATGCAAGGACAGTTCAAAATCTGCTAGTCAAAGTCACACATCACATTAACAAAGGAAGAATAAAAATATTACGATTATGTTAATAGATGCAGAAAATACTTTTGACAAAACTCAACATTCATTTATGATTTAAAAAAAAGCTCTCAACAAAGCGAGTATAGAAGGAACATACATCATAAAAAAGGTCATATATGACAAACCCATAGCCAACATTATATCAACAATGAAAAGCTGAAAGCATTTCCTCTAAGATCAGGAACAAGACAAGGATGTGCACTCTCACCAGTTTTATAACACACAGTTTTGAAAGTCCTAGCAGAACAATCAGAGAAGAAAAAGAAATGAAAGGGACCCAAATTGGCAAAGAAGTAAAATTCACTGTTTGCAGATGACATGGTACTATACATAGAAAATCCTAAAGACTCCATCAAAAAACTGTTAGAACTAATACATGAGCTTTCACACTAATAAGGAAAATCATCACTACTATAATAGTTAGCTATTGCTGAGGGCTTCCTATGTGTCAAGCTCCAAGCTTAGCACACACATGTATCACTGTTAGTTCTCAAGACTACTTTTGCTGATGCTGTAGATGAGGAAACTCAGATGAAATTGCTTGTCCCCATCATGTGGCCTGGGGTAATGCGTGACAGAGCCAAGATTCACATCTGAGTCTTTCTGATTCCAGGGTCACATCCTAACCGCCCTGTCACATGCTTCTTATCAGAACCTGTTCTGTGGGTTGGATCTGAACCCAGAGCAATGTCTAAAAGGCCAGGTCAGATGCCAAAACTGCTTAATCCCGAGACAGCAGCTGTGAGGGCGGCGGCATTCACTCTGCAGGCAGATGTGCAGTTCCCACAGCTGACACCGCTCAGCACCAGACCCCAGCAGTGTTCCGACGGGGTAAATCATTCTATAAAGGTTGCCCTTCTCTGGCGGAGCCCACTGTGGGCTGACAGCTGAGCTGCAGGGAAGTTGCTGGGAGACGCTCAGAGGGTGGCCTCTAGGGTTGGGAGCCAGACTGGAGTCCAGAGTCCTAACTGGGGAACTACAAGATCCTGGGAACCAGGGACTAGGGAAATCAGGAGCACTTGGATATGACTCAACCAAGAACTATGTCCCACCGTAGGCAGCCTCAGAGTCATAGACAGCAACTGTCCATGCCTAATTTTGAAATGATCAGATGAGTACTTGCTTAAGAATGAAAATCTGATAAAAGCGAGGAAGTGAACAAGAGAAAATAAATCCTCCCAGCTCAGGACGTCTGCCATGTTCGCCCCAGGAGCCCGTGGTCTGGGAAGTCTGTGTCCTTGGATAGATGTTCCAGATGGGATTCACCTGGGAGTCCAGTGCTGTGCCCCCTTGGGGCCACACCTGGTCCTGCTGCCCATGGGCCCCCGGGGACCCCGAGAGCAGCAAGGGAGTGCCCTGGTCCCCAGGACGCACCCTCGGCTCAGACCCTCACCTGCCGCGTCATCTCGGCAAATGACATTTTTTTATGCTTCAGTTTCCTCCTCTGGATGAAGGCGTGTAATAAATTCGTCTAAAGATTTCTCTGTGCCCAGTCTCACTGCAGCTGGATTTCTGCTGGGCACTTGCTGGGCACTTGGGTTCCTTTCTCACCCCTCACCAGGGCCCTCTTCTCATCTTCAGCAGGCAGAGTCTCCCATGGGAGAGCATTCTGGAGACGGATGACTCAGAGCCAGGATCTCCAGGGCTGCGGAGACAGCATCCTCCCACAAGGGAAACCCCATCTCAGACTAGACTGGTGGAACCCAGGAACTCCCAGACGTCGCCTTCTAGAGACAGCTTCCCTCCCTGCCTTCTCTGAGCTTTTCTGGGTCTCTCTGTCTGTGGGAGCCTTCAGGGACTAATCCCTGATGCCGGGAAGTGTTTTGATGAAGTCATGCCATTGCTCACCAGGGAACTAACTGCATCTGTCATTCCTGGTTCTCTGAGCCCCGCTTACCGCTCACAGGTTTCCAAAGAAGTGAAGAGGGTGACATCACCCTCCTCTCCAGTCCCTTCTCAGCCAATCTCCGATTCCCCCGACGCCACCAGCTTGTCTTCTGCCCTCAGGCCTGGGCTGGGCCACCCACGCCCTCTGCCTGCAGACCTGCCCCCGAGGGTAATTTCTCCCTCCCACACTGGCCACCCCTTCTTTCCAGCTGCTCTGGGCTGCCTCCTTGGAGAACTTCCATCCTCCACTTGGTCGGGCATTTGCCCATCAGACTCTGACTAAGCAGGTCCTTCTGGAACTTTCTCCCTGGGGTGATCTGTCTCACTGCCTCAAGGCTGAGCAGGGCAGAGGGAGGGAAATGCAGGCTCCACCCAGAACCGGTCACAAGATTGAGCCCATCCTGGGGCCCCCTGGAGCCTGGGTAGGAGTCAGATCACCCGGGCTGCCCTGAATCCCCTGTAAGAATGGGCTTCTTAGTAAGTAGGAAGCTGTTCCCAAAACACCCGGAAACAGAAATGCCACTTCTCTGCCCTGAGGGCCTGCTGCGGGGACGAGGAAATGACTTGATCCTGGAAGATGGGGAAAGCTGGACTCAGCAATGATGCAGTCAGGCGATTCCAGGGCCCCCAAGGCTGTGGCCAGAGTCGAGGGCGGGAAGGCTTCCCTGGGGGCCCTTCTCTCAGCCCCTCTGAGACCCTCTTGGCCTCCTGGAGCCCTGGGGGTTTGCCTCCTGGCCCCTCAAGTCCTTCCTCTGAGTTCCTTGCAACAGAAGGCAGAGAGAAGATGAGAAAATCCCAGACTGAACACAGGCCACCTAGGCCCACCTCACTGCCCACAAGGCTCTCTCTCTCACTGAGCACTTACTGAGCACCCTGTCTGGAGCTGACAGTGAGGGAGACACTATCACGGTCTCAACTGGGGCCTTTGCAGAGAAAGATGAGACATGATTAGTAACTTCCTGGGCTAATAGGTGTAAACCGGGCCCAGGAAGCTCATTCAGGCCCACCTCCTGTGCTCAAGCGGATGCGCTGTGGTGGAAAGGCGGATGTGCGGCTGCACAAGGACTGATGTGTGAGAGGAGCAGAAGGGAGCTTGCAGGGCTGGCAAGGAGCCGGGTCGCAGGGCACATGGGGAGTGGCGCTGTAAGGGGGGGCGGGGCTGGGCTTCCCCGTTGGTGGGGTCGGAGGTTGGGGTGCTGTGCATCTCGGGCATAGAGGCGGGCTATGCATCCTATGAGTGCATCTGTGCCCAGGAGGAGGTTCCCCGTGGAAGCGAGCTGAGGCTGAGACCTCGGAGGTTGGGGGTGGGGGAGGTGGGGCATGAGGACGGGTCTCACAGGCTTAGGAGAAGGCACGGAGGGTGCAAATGCACCGAGTTAGGAATGAGGATAATGTGAGGCAGCTTCTTCATCATCAGGCTTAATCTTCCTGGACTCAGTTTCCTCATCTGGAAAATGGTCCCTCAGCTGCAGTGAGAACCACCAAGCACCACTGGGAAAGTCTGCAAGAAGGCAAAAGCGCAACGCAGACATCTGTCCCACTCTCCATGCCCCAGCCCAAACCCAGCGTGGGTACCGAATGTAAGCTAAGGCAACAAAGAATGCATTTAGTATCAGGTGAGTAATATGAACCGGGGCCACCTTTATCATCCTTGGGGTGTGCCCTGCAGTCCTCATGTCTGCTGCTCTCGCAGCCTGCCAGGGAGCAAGGCTTCCCTGAGAAGCAGGGCACGGACTCATGTGTGAAGACAGGGGCCAGACGCTGGGGGAACTGTATGACATTCCCCCCCATCCCCACCTCCCCCTCCACCGCGCCCTTCTACACCCCTTCTTCCAACACTGCGGCAAATCCTGCCTTAGGGCCTTTGCACCTGCCCTTTCTCCCACCAGCGAGGCATCCACCCACGCTTTGCTCTCTCACTTCCTCTAGGTTTTCACTCAGATGTCACTGCAGCAAGAGGCCTTTCTTCATCACTCTACGAATGCTTCATCCCTGTGCATGTTTTTCTCCTAATCACGTAATGGCGTCTGAGTGAACTCGGTACATTTATGGTCTGCCTCCTCCACTCTGATGCAAACACCATGAAGGCAGGGATTCTCGTCTGTTTTGCATCTGCTTTAACCCAGAGTGCAGAAGAGGGCTGACTCACTGAATAAGTGAATCTCTCCTTTCTGGAGGGGATCACCAGCTCAGTGGACATAAGTTTGAGCAAGCTCTGGGCGATGGTGAAGGACGAGAAAGACTGGCATGCTGCAGTCTGTGGGGTTGCAAAGAGTCAGACAGGGCTGAGCGACTGAACAATAGCAACTCCTTCTACTCTGGGGATAGGGTACCCAGCAGAGCCATGAAATCCACAGAAGGGCGACAATTTCACTTTCTTTTATTTGTGGCACTAGAAGACCAACAGTGGAGACAGCATGATGTAAGAGTGATTGCCTGATGCCCTCGCTGCCCAGGAAAGGTGAGGGCATTCATCAGACAACACACAGCAAGTCCTTCCTACAAGATGCCTGATCTGAAATCACTGTGAAACATACAAACGATCTCGTGTATTTGTTGCTTCATTAAGACAGAAATTTTGTTTCAGGAATTCCTCTAGATTTCTATTAATCTCTTAAAGAGCTTTCTCTACAGCCGTAGTGGACTATCTGTGATAAACACCGGAGACTGAGTGCCCTGGGCTGTGATTCTGGGCGAGCCACTTGCCTGCTGAACCCAGCAGGGAGACCACGCCCACCGCATGAACTGCCGGCAGTCTTGATCTCATGGGAGTGACCTTCAGACGCCCAGTCTCCTCCTTCCTGCCCTGGGGAGGATTTCCGAGGCTCCCAGGGCAACTGGGCTCCATGCTCAGCCCTCCATGGGAGAGGCCTGTGCACATCACAGCCTGCGGGGGGACAGCGTACCACGTGCACATGCGTCCACTGCAAAGTCCTTCTGAACTCGCCACGGCCACCTGGGGAGAATTTAGACCTGCGCTCCCCAGACATCACGTCTGATTGTTACTCCGCCTGACTGGTTGATTCTTAATAGCTTACTTGGTCAGATCACGGTCTGCAACCCTTCATGAGGTTTTTAATCCCAGTTGGAGGAATAAGAATATAATACTTTCATTACTCAGTGAAGTCACATTTGAAAATGCCTCTCAACACTTTCTTCTTGCATCAAGTAGCATAAGACATTCAGGTTATTTCATGTACATACTTTCCCTAGAATTCAGAAAGATTTTCAACAACTAAATTGTTTTAACCATCTACATGTGGTAAAAGTCTCAAAGATCCAAAATCGGCCTAAGGCATGATTCTTTCCACTCTGTCCGTCAATATAATTAAGCGTGATGGCCCAGCGTTTACAGTCCCATTAACCTGCCAACAAGAATAGTTTATTGGCAACTTTAAGTATTCAGAGGCAAATACATTTCCTTGGCACAGGCCGTGTGGCAGAGCAGCACCCCATCCGTTTTAACCACAACGCAGGAGCGTAAGTCAGAGGCGAGTTTTGGCCTGGAGACGGGAGCTGCCGGATCCTGAAGCCCCCGGGCGTGGCGCTCATCAGCGTGGCTGTGGGCATCCCTCGGGGGGTCTTTCTGCCACAACAGCATCTTGTCACTGATTCACACGAGCAAGGGCACCTGCGGTGAAGAAAGACCTAATGTTACTCAGGGATGTAGCGGAGCGCAGGGGCCAGGCATCCAGGCGCTGAGGAGCTGTGCACCAATCCCTCCTCGAAATAGTCCTCTCCCATTACAGCCCCCAGTGTTTATACCGCACCCGTCCTACTTATAACCCAGGGAGAAAGCTCTCAGAAACACAGACATGTCTGAGGGATTTCAGTGACTGGCTCTTGCCTTCAGGGAGAACATCTGGAACAACTGCAGGGTCAGATGTGTCTGCAGGCCCCTGAGCGCCTCTTAGATATGTCCGCTGCCCCCAGCCCCGTCCTCCTGGAGCTCCCGCCCAGCAGTCTTTCCCTTTCCGAGCTGGTCCCACCCTCTCTGCCTGGGGTGTTTCTCTGTTGCGAATGCCCCCTTTTTTGCTGGAAAATGAGGACTCCTTCTTTAAGAATGTTCAGACCACCTGGAAGGAAAAGGCATGCTCACTCCAAGTCCTGGGGAGGCTGATCCAATCGCCCCCTGGGCTGTGGGTGACGTGGCCTGCCGTGGTCTCCCAGGCGCGTGTCTCACACTGGAGTGGGGGCTCCAGGGATCACGGCGCCAATCCCCACCTCATCATGGGACGTAGGGCTTACTGGGCACCAGCAAGTGCAGGGGACCCCAGTGAGTGATCGCAAAGCCGCCCATTCACCCTGCCGCTCCAGGTCCAGGTCTGCAGCCTCCTAGGATGCCCAGCTGCAGAAAATGTGATGGCACAGTCTTGAAGGACCTATTTCCATGCCTCTGAAGGCCAAGGTGAACAGCATTTCTAAGAAAAGTGACAGATTCACCTGGACGGTGTGGAAGGAGATCTGGATTTCTCACCGTGGTTCTGCTGGATTCAGTACATTCTGAAAGTGCTGGCCCCACTTTTCACTGTGTTATCAAAGCGAACATATAAGGACCCAAGTAGATCCCTTAACGACGGTAACCACCACCACCACCTAGAATGCTTCCCGGGTGCTTCCTGTGTTTCAGGCACCATTTCCAGCCCTGCACAAACCTCATCTCATTAAGGCTTTCGCTCAACCAAATCACAATGCACTGCTGCTTTCACCATGGGTACTGCCTCCAATACGAAGATGAGAGAACTGGGGTGCAGAGCGGGTGTCTGGACCCAGACCAAACACTAGTAAGTAGCAACCCCCGGAAGGCTTGCCTGGGCAGAGGGCCGGCCGCGGGCCACAACCGTGACTGCACGGCTCAGCCTTCTTGCTTCTAGTGTCTTACACTGGCCCCCGCCTCCCAGACCCATCAGCAGCCCCGTCGCTGCAGGGCCCCCACACCATCTGCGAGACGAGATGGCAGGAGACCTGGAGTTTGCAGGCATGGACGGAGGAGGCAGGCCCTGCTGATTTGGATGGAGCCCAGGGAACACACACCATTGGTGTCAAGTGGTCTGACACCCAGGCCAGCTTGGGATGGAGACAGAATTGGGGCCAGTGGCGTCTGGACGGTGCAGGGTCTTGCCAGGGAGAGGTCACAGGACTGACTCCAGGGACAAATGCAGCCTTGGGGAAAGGAAGAGGCACCAGAAAAAAGACTCAGAACGTGGTTCAGAGGGGCAGGGGGAACGTGCAGGGCGCTTGCCCAGAGGGGCAGGGGGAACGTGCAGGGCGCTTGCCCAGAGGGGCAGGGGGAACGTGCAGGGCGCTTGCCCAGAGGGGCAGGGGGAACGTGCAGGGCGCTTGCCCAGAGGGGCAGGGGGAACGTGCAGGGCGCTTGCCCAGGGAGAGTACAGACAAGGATGGACTCGGTGACTGCAAACAGCACAATGAGATCCAGGGAGTCGAAGCGCGGGAAACGCTAAGAAACTTACTTTTAAAGAGTACGTTAGTTATATTTTTGATAGGTTTTTCTTCAAGCTCTAGACAACTTTAGAGGTGAGACACTTCTAACTTCAAAACAAAGGTTTTAATTGTCAGTCTGAAACAGCACAATGAGTTTGCCAAGCAACATCCAAGCAACAGAGAAAACAATATGCGTGTTGGTGCGAAGAAAAACAGATTGAGCCTGTTATTGGAAAGTGCAGCCAGCATCCTGTTAATAGTATGCTTATCCCGTTTCCTGACCTTTGAAAACCTGTAGAATAAAGGGCGCTATTCTTGCGTCCAAGGGCGCCAGCAGCGTTGTGACCTTGACGGGGGCAGTTCTGGGAGTGTCAGGGGGTGGAGGAGGGGAGTGGATGTTGGGGAAGTGGAGTTGTATGAATGGTCAGGACATCCAGAGGCTACAGTGAAGGGGAGGAGAGCAAAGAGCTAGGCAGAGCTGGAGTTGGGTCCTTGGGAGGGATTTTTAAAATGCATATTTACTATCACTGTTTTAATAAGTTAATTGATATATGATATGATAAAATGCAAGCATTCAAAGTGTAAACTTTGATATGTTTTGATATATATGTGTATAAACATCACCAGAGGTGAGATGATGGATTGGGGTTATTCTATTTTTTTAAATACACTTTTATGTTTTTAAATTCTTTTTTTTTTTAATTTAAGTTGAAGGATAGCTAATTTATAATATCATATTACTTTCAGATGTATAAAACAGTGATTCAGTATTTACCTAGATTATACTTCGCTTAAAGTTATCATGATTTAGCAGCTGAATTCTCTCTGTGCTGCATAATAGATCGTTACAGTTTATTTCATACACAGTAGTTTTAGCTCTTAATCTCCTACCTGTATCTTGCCCCTCCACCTTCCTTCTCCCCTCTGGCAACCACTAGTCTGTTCTCTGTATCTGTGAGTTTGTTTCTGTTTCGTTATGTGCATTCGTTTTATTTTTTAGATTTCACATATAAGTGATAACACAGAGTATTTCTTTCTCTGCTGACTTATTTCACTACAGGGCTTTCATGATAACTCAGTTGGTAAAGAATCCACCTGCAATGCAGGTGACCCTGGTTTGACTCCTGGGTCGGGAAGATCCACTGGAGAAGGGATAAGCTACCCACTCCAGTATTCTTGGGCTTCCCTTGTGGCTCAGCTGGTAAAGAATCTGCCTGCAATACTGGAGACCTGGGTTTGATCCCTGGGTTGGGAAGATCCCCTGGAGAAGGGAACGGCTCCCTGCTCCATACTTCACTAGGCATAATATACTCTAAGTCCGTCCATGATGTTGCAAATAATAGTTTCACTCTTTCTTTCACTCTTTCAGCTCAGTGGTGGCTCAGATGCTAAAGCGTCTGCCTGCAATTTGGGAGACCTGGGTTTGATCCCTGGGTCAGGAAGATCCCTTGGAGAAGGAAATGGCAACCCACTCCAGTATTCCTGCCTGGAAAATTCCATGGATGGAGAAGCCTGGTAGGCTACAGTCCATGGGGTCACAGAGAGTTGGACATGACTGAGTGACTTCGCTTTCTTTCACTTTCAGCTCAGCAGTATTCTATTGTATATACGCCACATTTTTCCTTGTCCATCACCTGTTGAAGGACACCTAGGTTGCTTCCATATCTTGGCTATTGAAATGAATGCTTCTATGACATTGCTATTGCTGTTCAGTTGCTAAGTCACATCTGACTCTCTGATCCTGAGGGCACACCACGCCAGGCTTCCCTGTGCTTCTCTTTCTCCCGGAGTTTACTCAGATTCATGTCCACCGAGTGAGTGATGCCATCTAACCAATTTGTCCTCTGTCGCCCTCTTCTCCTTTTGCCTTCAATCTCTCCCAGCATCAGGATCTTTTCCAATGAGTTGGCTCTTTGCAACAAATGATCAAAGAATTGGCACTTCAGGCACAAATCTTTTCAAATTAATGATTTCATTTCCTTCAGGTATATGTCCAGGAGTAGAATTGCTGGAGCATATGGTAGTTCCACTTTTAGCTTTTAAAGGTCTCTCCGTAATGTTTTCTATGGGGGCTGCATCGGTTTACATCCCCACCAACAGCGTGCAAGTCCTTAGCCCCCTTCAATCCCTCCTCTCCCCAAACCCAATACAACCACTGATATCCTATCTCTACAAAGTAGTTTGTGTTTCCTAGAATTTTATATAAATGGAACCATCTATTACGTACTTTATTTCTTGGCTGGCTTCTTTCACTCAGCATAGTTGTTTTGTGATTTACCTCTGGGTTGTTGCTTCTACATTCTTTTTACTGCTGGGCAGTGATCCATTGTAGGGATACACTGGTTTTGCTTCTGGGTTGGGCAAGTCTCAGGGAGGGAGTGCCCTCTCCATCTCTGGTAAATGGGGTGATGGGGTCTGTATTACAGGGCACCTACGCTTCCCCCCATGAGGCTTGTGCTCCTCCTCACAGCACCGCCAGCAGCCCCACAACACGAAGCACCAGGAGACACCCCACACGCTGTGGCCACCGACAGCCTGGCCCCACGGCAGAAGCACCTTGCAGAAGGCAGAAGGCAGTCCAAGCTGCTACGACAGATCTCCCAGGACACAGAAGGGTGGGCATGGCCCAGTGAGGGGGGTTAGAGGGCAGCTGAGTAAAGCAAGGGGACCGCACATGCCCGGCTCTCCTGGCCGTGACCTGAGTGCTGCCAGTGCGGGAGCCCCGGGCTGGCAGCGTCTGAATCTCTGGTGGCTGAAGGCCTAGAAGGAGCCCTCATCACCAGTAACAGCAACACAATGGCCGAATCCAGATTTTCACAGTTCTCAGCAAACAAAAAAAAAAAAAAAAAATTGGGAAGGGAAAGTCCTAAACTTTGGGGTCAAAGAGGAAATTGCATGCCAGCACTAAAAAGCTTTGGCTTGGACAATTCAGTGAGAGAGAGCCTGGCAACAGAATTTGCCACAAGGTAGCAAAACCATGCTGATGGCCACTAGGGTCAACCCAAGCTTAAGCCACCTTGCTAAGGAAGGGAGGAGTCAGCTGCTGAGTGTCTGCCCACAGGACCAGGGGACCTGCCCTAGGGCGGGTGTGACCAAATTCAGGAGGAGAGACCACCCTCCACCCCTCACTGGCAAGGGGACAAGGGCATGCTGCAGAGGGAAAAGCTCTAGAAGGGTCCCTGCTATCCC